TTAACATTAAAGAATATAATTTAAATGTATTAATTTTATTATGTGAATGAATTTGGAATTTTATTTCATGCCAAGGTATATGTTATAATAGCCAAATGGAAAATATATCAGAAAAGGGGAGAAATGAGGACTTTCACATAAACTGACTGTCCATAACATAGGTAAAATTTCAATAAAACCAGTCTTCAGTGCAAAAACCTCATCTTGATGTTACATAAAATTAAATGAAAAAGGACTATGTTGATGTATCATTATTTCATGTTACATAATAGCCCCAAACAAACACACTGTTTAACTATGAGGCTTGTAGAAATACTATTCACTTTATTGACATAAATACAGAAATGCAGAAAGGTTCTAAGGTAGAATAAGCATCTTAGTGGAAATAATAGACATCTGAACATTTTACATGTTATGTATGGACTGATTCAAAATTTGGAAAAGTAATTTACACAGTAGAACATATGCATGAATGTGAAAGCAAGATGAATGAAAGAAAAAGAATATGAGTATCAGGGAAAGAATTCCAAATGGAAAGGGCCAATCAGGGAGTTTTGGACAAATCGAGAAATTGATGGCATGTCAATTTCCAAGTCTGGTTGCTTCCACCAAAGTTATAGCAGAGAGATAGTGTAGAGACCCAGGACCCAACTCCGGGGCACATTTGCAGTAAATGTTTGGAAAAAAGAGACGTTGGCAAAAGACCAGCCAGTGGATCGAAAGCAGAGCGATGGGCTGGAGACCAAGTAAAGCAGGAACACGGGGGAGGAGGGATAGAAGGGCTGTGTCAAATGCTGCCAAAGTGCCATGCATGATGAAGACTAAAAACTGACCACTATATTTAGCAACTTGGGGTCACTGATGGCCTTGACAGAGCAGTTTCCATAGAGCGAGGGATCAGGGGAAAGGCCAGAGTGGGTGCAAATGGGAATGGCTCAAGAGAATATGCAGACATTGAGTTTAAACTACTCATTAAAGATTTGCTGCAAAGACATGGGGTGGCGATTGGTGGGGGCGAATTAGGGTCAAGGAGTGCTGTTTGTTTCTTTTAAGAGGATGGACTTTTATATACTGATAAGAGACAAG